TCTGAAAACCAGGGGTATGAAAACTTGGCCATGGCAGGTCACTCAGGTTGAGGCATGCCCTGACTGTTGGCTGAGAAGCTGGTGCTCAGGGCTAGGAGCATGAAGAGGCCTGTGGGTCATAGAACCCATGAAGACATGGCTGCAGATGGCATCAGCCCTGGGAGTCCAGGGGTCCAGGGTGACTCCAATGGCAAGGCAGTGAGGGGAAGGTCTGGGGTTCTCATTCAGGAATACATAGTCAGCTGCAGCCACTCCTGGATGTTCACCTGGATTTGTCCAGTGCCGTCTTTGTCAAGTGATTTGAAGGCACGGAACATGGTATCCAGCCTGATCAGGCAGCTGATGAAGTTGTCAAAATCCATGTTCCCTCCCTCGTCCGAATAGCGTCGGATGATCATATTGTAAAGATGCTGATTCAGATGGAAGCCTGCTGCCTCAAAAGCCCCTGGGAGTTCTCTGCTGGAGATGGTCCCTAAGCGGTCAACATCAAACCGTTTGTATATGGCCTACCACTTTTTTATGTTGTTCCATAGGTACTTGAATTCCTCAAAGCCCAGCTTGCCTGTGGTATCGCTATCCATCACAGCCACCATGCTTCAACAGGTGTCAGTGCCAAAACCGTCTGTCTTCAGATCAGGATGTCGAGTCACGATTTTGTTGAGAATGTTCATGAGTTCTGTGGCTCTGACTTCCATGTCATCGCCAGCCAACTGGGCAAATAGTTTTCGGAACTGCCGCACCTCCTCACTCTCATTTGCCTCAGTGTTGGAGAAATGGGTACGTGGGGGCGGGGGCTCCGGGTTGTACTGAGCAGCGCTTCGCTGATGGCGCTAATGACCCCGCCCAGGATACGCATGGCCGTTCCTCAGCCACCACCGCCACCACCTCCCCGGCCCCGCTGATCAGGCCTCCGAGCTCATTACCCAGGCCCCCGCCCAAGCTCCCACCGCTGCCGCCGCTGTCACCGCCCTTCAAGAACGAGTTGACCAGGAACATGGCTGCGTCTTAGACTCCTGACAGGGGTAGAAAGAAGTCAAGTGGCTTCCTGAACCCTGAACACCCCCCAAACACGCATTTCCGGGAAGCAGACGTGGGAGGAATTGAGGGCTAAGGGTGAGAGGACCGATCGTAGCTTGGAAGTCAGCTGAGACGGGCTGGTGGGGAGGGTGCACCGAGAAGGTCTGGAAGCCCCCTGGATCCTGTGGGTCCTGGACTTAGTCCACGCACAGGCATCATTAACGCCCTGAACATCTTTGGGCACTCGAACCTGGGACTCAGATCCTCCGAACTGAGTCTTGGGAGTCCTCAGCTTCCAAGCCCTCAAAGCCAGATTTAAGGAATTAGCAACATAGAATTGAGGGTCTTGGTAATCCCAAGGACGATATTACTGTGTCTTTGGCGGAGTCGGGTCTAAGATTGCGAGTGTGAAGTTTGGGAATAACGGTGTCGGCTCCAGAGCAAAATTACGAAGACGCTCTCGACTCTGCGGGCCTGCATCTTCCCGTATGAGACCGGAATCTCCAGGGCCAGGATAACGGGGGTGGACAGTGCTGGGGATCCTAAGAATCTAAAATCAAGGGTCTGGGGGACGACTGGTCTAGTCAGGTCTGGGGACCCAGATGACGGGGTGCGGGGTTAGGGGGTGTCTGGGCAGGGTGCTCACCGCCTCGCTCACACGTCGGACAGTCCGCTCATCCACCGCTCTGGGGCCTAGGCCTGTGGCTCCCGAGGGCGGGGCCGGTGACTCAGGGGCCGCGCTCTGACCGCACTGCCGGCCGGCCGGCTGGCGTTCGTGCGGTCCTAAGGCCGACCCGCCGCAACCACGTCTGCGCGAGGCGGCTGCGTCTTACGTAACAGGACGCGGAAAGAGCGGGGCTGCATTTGTAATTCCCATTGCCTAGGTGTCCAGTCATGAACTGACAGTCAGGTCTTCACCTGCATCTCCTAGGCCCGGCGGATTGTCGGCACTTGGAACGGACTGGGGCACGTCCTCCCAGTGCCGTGGTGTGAACTCGTTCACCCCCGAAACCTGTGGACAAGATTACAGGACAGCTTCAAAAGACACTGCTGGCACCCTGTACCATTCCAAGCCTTGATGCGACAGACTAAGCTTCAGGAAACCCACACTTCCGGGACAGGCTCCGACATCTGTAGCAGAGGTTGAGACTAAACTGGAATTCTGGGGCAGCCTAGGTGAATAAGATAAGACTGCAGATAAGACTAATGTTAGGAAAGCTTCAAGGAATCACCACATTTTTTCCTGGCTGTGCTCAAATCAAAGTCTTGTCTCAATCTTGTGATCTTTAAAGTGGGCCCTCGAACGCAGTGCTTTCTGGCCACAACCTGGTTTCTGAAATATA